TATCGTGTTGCCGGTCGGTTTCGAAGTGATAGTAGACTGTCTCAAAATGGAATATCAAAAAGAGTTGTCATGAAAAACTCGAAGAAATGCAGTCGTGTTGGATGGCGGCAGACTTTCCTCTATACCACTGTTCGGCTCAGTGGAATTTGTTGGTGCTACAAGATGGCGCGGATCGCGGAATATGTCACGCGATTTGTTTGAAAAAACGCGGCGCAGCGTCCATCGTTGAGGGACCGTTCACGATGCCTTCTACTTCTTCGTCCACATCAGGAAGCCATAGGAGCCCGATTTTCTACGGTTTCGTATGAAGATGGCAAGGTATTCACCCAAAGTGCTGCCGAGCACTTCTGGACGACAGCTACGAACAGTATTCTTCACTTTTAAAGCTGTCACCGTTCGAAAGAATGATAAGGCACACAGTAGATGGGCTGCCTCTTCACCTTCAACGTCACAGAAAGATCACCTTGGAAAAGGCAACAACGAGGTGGGCATCATCCTAGAACTGCATGTTGTTTAGAGAGAAATACTCACTAGAAAAACGCAGTAACGATTATGAATGATGTTTCAAAATGTCTATGAATACCTCCAGAGACAGTTAATAGGCTCTCATATTTGTAACTCATTTCCGTCTTTTTGTTATCCTATGATGTTTTAAAAATTGTCTGTACCTAGGCCCAACGACAGTAAGTAGGTTTTCACATCTGTAAGGCATTGCCGTCACTTTGTTATCCTATGGTGTTTCAAAACTGTCTATAAATATATAGGTCCAGAGACAGTAAATAGGTTCTCACATCTGTAACTCATTTTCGTCTATTTGATATCCTACTTTCTTGTAACTATTACTTGTAATGAATCTCTTATCTCATGTTTCTGATTTTGTTCTGTCAGTCGGATCCGACTGATACTGAGGACGAACATACCACTGCGCAACGTAAGTCGCGGACCTGCGACTAGCCCCAGATGCAGTTTGTATTGACATAGCACTTCTTCCTCTCCAAAAAGGTTTTTCAATGCTCCATTTTCCACAGAGGACGAGGGCCGTCGGTAACGCTGCTCACTAGGGACGCGGTCCGACAGCGAAATCCCGGCTCCGCCTAGGGCTAAGCAATTATTCACTAATTCTAAGGCCGGTTGATTGTACCGGACTCAACGTATGTCGACCGCTCCCGTAAGTCATTGTGTAAAGCAGATTGATATGAAAAAGTTATCATGGCTTCTGTAAATGGAGGTGGGACTGCGCGGCTAGTCTAAGTAGGTGGTTGACGATGTGCGAATCTTTGTGGGATCTTCTTCCGATTCACGCGAATAATGTGATTGTTCGCATTAAGGGACGGGGGGGGGGCTAGTTCGCTAGTTCCCCTACCTGCGAAGTCCTGTGAGTTTTCGCTGAGTATCATTTTATGGACTTACAGGAGTACAAGAGTCATCCGACCTCAAATGGGAACTTGTAGGATGCCACTCTCCCTTACTGATTGTTACTGTTAGTCACATAATGATCTGAGCACAAACTTGTGTTCCGATTGCATCCGATCTCGTCCAAATTGGAACCGTCGCCACAGTCATCTGCTATGCCATCGCAACGTTTTTCGGCCGGGATACATCGATCACTCTTCACGCAGGCAAATTCGTAACGTGAGCAAGATGCTGAAACGTTGCTGAATTTGCTGGAGTAATTTCACTGGTCATAGATTTCTACAGCTCAGCTCAGCAAGCCATAACATTAGAGGAAGTTTTGGAGGCGAAATCTGCAGCAAACTGACATGTTGAGGTGCTGGCGACTCATCGTCTTGCATTATTTTACGGTTAGTAAAACTTTCGGGTAAGTTCCGGCGACGGGGGGGGGGGGGGCATTTCGTTACCAATCATTCGCTTCTCTGAGTTCCAAGTCACAGTCCGACTTTGGCGAAACCTGTAAAACTGTCTGTAGACGCTGGAGCTGCGATTCGATCTACCCATCATTGTTAAAAACCTGTCAGCTCGAGAAGAGGCTGCTACTTAGGTCGACCCGTCGACTGGGAAGTTAGCAAACGTGGGGAAATGCCCCCCCCCGTCGGACGAACTGCCGAACAGGGAAGCTCTGGTTCCGGCTGACAATGGCTTTTCAAGACATTGGCATTCAATAAAATTTCATAAATTCGGAGCTAAAGCGGAAGCTCAAAGGCAACTGCCACACATCTGGCTGAGATGGCGGTTGCTGTCATCGTCACTGGTGAAGGGCTGAGTGGGTATGACAAATGCTCTGCTCGCGAGGACCTTCCAATGACATGGCAGCAACGCCGCCTCCAGGACGTCTACCACTTCCTTTAAGTCACCTCTTATTTAAGCGAAATGTGAAACCGTCCTGAGAGGAAGTCCCTCTAGTATTTTTTTTCATCCGAAAAAGGGGTGCTTCTATTTTTCACTCTTTTGGTCCGACACGACCTTATAAGTTACTATAAGTTGAAACACACATATCGGCAATTGTTCTCGTCGTCTCCATCGGCACAGTCCGCGTGCCCGTCGCATCTCATCGATCGGGGAAGACATCGTTGAGGTAGTGAACAGCACGCGAACTCTGACTCGGAGCACGACTCACGTACAGCTGAAGATATATGATTAGATGCTGTGATCAACTCCTCAAATTCGTACTGACTGCAGTGCATCACATGGTCGTATTCCGGACAGGCTTTGACGGCGTTTTTAAAATTGCAGTTGGTTGTCGATTGGTCAAAGGCTTGGTCCTCTGACGAACATCGCAACGGAAACGTTTGACCAATAGAACACTGAAACGGAATCACATCACTACCCGATCCTTGATTATTCTGCAAAATTCACTTTTCTACAGTCGTCATCCGGGCAGTTGATTAGGCGGTCAAAGGGTCGCAGACGCGGCTGCGGCGCGTCACGACCGCGGCGATCAGCTGTTTCCAGCCTATTTAGCCATTTTCTCCCTAATTTTCACTGTATTATTTTTTCAAGGTTAGTTTCTTTATCTTTACAAAGTATGTTATGACGTGGATTCCTTTTTTGTTTTTTGTAATGAAGTGTTTTTTGTGATCTTTGAGTATTTGTTTAATTGTTCATTTAATTATTTTATTGTTCGCAAAATTAGAGAAATCTCAATCATAATTTACCTTGTGAAGACAAGGAACAACTAACCTCAAGAAAAGCAGCCAAAAACAGTGAAAATTAGGGAGAAAATGGCTAAATAGGCTGGAAACTGATCGCCGCGGTCGTGACGCGCCGCAGCCGCGTCGACCCTTCTACCGCTTAATCAACTGCCCGGATGACGACTGTATATTCCAATTTTTCAGAAAAACTCACCTGAAAGAATGTGGATGAGCAGGAGGTGTTGTAGATGAAGTGCTCAACTCTGGCCAAACCGTACCTGGTCAACATTTCATCGGTGAATTCGAACTGGAATTAAGAGATTTGGGACATTTTTATAGAGCTCGACAAGTTCCAACAAACCCGATCGCAATAGTTGATTACGTAAGTGCCATCCGTAGTTGGAGAGTAGGTCGTCGATCTGGGCAACTCCGATTTCTGGAACTGGAACGAGGACAGCGAAATTCAACTCGAAAAAGATGCTCACACCCGAATTCGTGTTTAGGTCCTTATCAACCATATTTCATGGCATGTTCATGAACCTCCTACGCCTACGGACAACTTGAACTCAACTTCTTCGAATGCGCCGATCTTCTGTTTTTCTCTGCACTCTCTCGTCCGCATGCCGGGAGCAGTTACGAGAGAGTGCAGAGAAAAACAGAAGATCGACGCGTTCGAAGGGATTGAGTTCAAGTTGTCCGTAGACCGCCAGGAGCACAACAAATGGTGTGGCGAGGAAGCCTCGTGAAGACAACGGGCGTACGTTCGCTGTCGCAGATCTGCCACAGTGCTGTAGAACTGCCAATTTGCCACTTCTCTGCACGAGAGCGGGCTGTGGGGGTTGTGCGAATCAATCCAGGAAGTGCGTTCGGGCATCCCACAGGCACGTCGCGGACTTCGACCCTCTCCTCTCCCACAGCTGGACAGAGGAAGACTTCGGAAAAAACCGGAAAAATGGCCCTGGAAGTTGGAGCGTAACTAAGCGAAATGGTGGAACGATGGCTGGTACGTACAGAGAAGGGAATCAGGCAGTTGTATTTTCCGAAAATTTTCAGCGCGGGAGCGCCACCTTGGTTGCTGATACTACGACTGCGCACACTGCTGCCAGACATCTAACAACAGCACCGCCATCCAATTAGCCTGGACACGGGGTTAATTGCACTTGCGTACTCTACTTACCTGTCTGGCCTCCTTACTGCCATTCCGTGCGATGGTATCGAGTAACCAAGCAAATTCTACAAGAGGCAGCACTTTGAGGATTAGTGACCTCAGCGGTCGCACACGATAGATTATCAGGGTAACGTAATCTCCGTTCCCGTCCCGTGCATTTTTGAGCGGACAAAAAGAGGCATGTCTAACTGCACGCACATACCTCGCACTATAGGCAAAGCGGCACCGTTCTCAATAAGGTGAGTGTGCAGTTGATTTCTACTTTGTGACCTTAGACTTAACGACAGGTAGTGATGACAAGTCCGGTTCAAGGTAACTCAAATCGACCTTGAAAATACCAATCAAAGATGTTACCCAAGAATGCTGATTTACTGGCCAAAGTCGTGCCGAGCAACGTAACCGGATAGCGCACTCGCCCGGAAAGCGTGAAGGTGCGGCTTTCGGACTCCCGCCTGGGCAGACTTTTTGCCCACCAAAATCCAGCATCCTTCTGTAAGTACATTCGCATTCGCGAACTCGGGTTGAAGCATAACAAAAAACAAGCCAGAATGTTTTTCTCAATTCATCCTTTGTCATCGAAACTGCAGAATTAAAGCTATTCGCTGGCCAGCGAACCTTCAAGTGCCTTGAAAAGAAGACTTCACCGCTGATCGGATCTTCTCGAAGGCAGATTGTTGTATACGAGCGAATTCTGGAGCAATCATCATATCCCAGTAGTCTTCCTTTGACTGTAAACAATGTTGTGAAACTCCACATGTTCTTATGGGCGGAAATGTAATGAGCATTCAGTCTCGTAGCAGTAGTTGAGCACTATTTGATTCAAGGAACTATGGTGGAGCTCATGATCACGTTGCTACGACGCGGCCTTGCAAGGCATCACTTGTACCAGAACCAAGGAGAGCTCATCAGTACTATCCCCTTGTTACCGTGAATGGTCCAGAAATACGGTTCATACCCAGTGGGAAACTGGACTTGGAAGCGATTCAGCCTGTCGGTTCAAGTAGTCAGCAAAAATTAATCACTGAGTGTCGCCCCAAGGTGCATCCCATCAGCGGCACTTGTCCTACTCAGGCGTGACCAGCAACCAGACTTACAGTATTGTTCGTTGCGGAAGATGGGGAACGGTCTGACGGATAAGTTTGACGCGATGCGAGCCCGCTTTTTCCTTTTTTTCTTCCAGAAAGCGAAGAGGCCGCATCATGTGGTTTGTATCAATCGTATTCCACCAGAGCTTATCCCAACAAGTGGTTTGCTGGCAGGGCGCCAAACCCAGCCGCACTGACATCCTGCTTAAACCGCAGTGAACAAGACTGTACTGAACGATAAGATTTCTTGCTGAGTGGCCACTTAATCTGAGAGATTTTCGTTTTTCATTGGGCATTTCCCATAACCTCTGATGTGATTCAAAGATTTTTAGCTCTGAAAAAACAACTCACATTCCTGAAAGGCACTGCACTTTGTCCAAGTGACTCGACGAGCACGATGATTGTGAGCGAATGAAGGATGATTGACTGCGTCATTTCACTTCTTCTATTGACGGCCGAGTTACCTTCTACAAAATTATAATTCGATCCATCAAAGGCGCTGTTCATGGTCATCATATGGGAGGAACGAGATCTACAGTTATGCCTTTCTTCTTGATGGTAACCTTCAAGGCAGAAGTGCGCCAACGAGAAGGGCACAATGTAAGACCTGGTTCGTCTATACAAAGAGGTACGAGACGAGGCAAAGACGAGCCAAAAGATTTTCAGCAGACTGTCGCACGATGGCTGACGGTGGCTGACTGTGTTGTGGTTATAATACTTGGCGACTTGGCGAAAAATGTTGTCGAGTCGGTGGAGGGTGTTGTGGGTATGCAGTTAGGTCATGCGGCGTACAACAGTACTACTAACACAGAAAACTTCATAAAAACCACAATGAAGTGAGAACCACGTAACTCCTAGCCAGAAATACGACCCCCCTCCCAACAACGACCAAATACGACCCCCCCCCTCCAAAACGTCCGCAAAGCGAGAAAAATCAACTATAAAAATAAATTTTTCCCAACCCAAATACGACCCCCCCCCTTTTGGCGGCCAAATAGCGACCCCCCATAGAGGGAATCCCCATCGAACGCTGCCTGTCGAAGACTACTTCGGCCAATATTTCGGCATAGGCGGGAGGGAATATACCTTTGGAAAAAGAGTGCTTATTAGCTGTTTCAGTTACGAAGAGGACGAGCTTACGTCTTACTGTAGCATAAGGTTTATCCCTGTTCAAACCACTAGAGTGGTATAACTGCGTCGACTGTAATTGTGAAAAAACATGTTTTCAAGTAATTGCAAATTTTTGGAAAATATTAGAAGGGCTCCTTAATAAAAAGTTCAATTTTACAGCGAATGGAGTTGGTCGAAGAAAGTAAGAACAGTTTGCCCGAAAACGTCAGAAGAAGCGGGACTTATGTCCGAAGCAATACTCCGGCAAACGACAAACATGAAAAAATGGACAATGACCAGCCGAACCATTCGGGTCACTTTGTTGCTTTATTCAGCGGTGTCCAGACGAGTGCGAACCAACCCAGCTCAGTTCTTCTGTTTGCATTAGGGATCCCGTAACGGGCAAAATGGCCTTTCAGGACCATATCGTCATTGGGAACAAACGGAGCAGTTCAAAGAGTTGAAGAAAAATCCGGTTCACCTCGAAACCAGGGCACGGCCTGTGGGTAGTGGAACGTTTGCAAAACACGACCACTTCGAGAGTTTCTCCTCTGGTATGACCTGTTCCTTCCCCATCCCCCATCCTACCTACCATCTTCCTGAATTTTCCCTACTTTCTACCACTTTATGAGAGAAATTTTCCAGGTTTTTCCAAGGAAATACCGTGAGAGGAGGGAAGGAGGTACAAGGCGTACTTGGAGCAGAAAAAAGCCGGGAAAATTCATATTATTCTTGGGATCAAATACGACACCTCCCTGCTGGGAACGTCTAGCCTACGACATGCCCTTCTCAAATCCCAGTAAAATGCTGTTCTGAGACAGGATAGAACAACTGATATTTGGACCCTCTTTCGTCACCGCTGCAGCTCATCACGGAAGCATGGAAAGTTAGTTGAGTCAAACAGATTGGATTTCTATGTTCAGCTGATGTTTGAAACCGTAGTCCTCTCTACGTCAGCGCCTGCTGCATCATAGAAGCATGGAAAGTTAGTTGAGCCAAACAGCTAGCCATGTATTGAGAAGTCGAACATGTAGTCGCAGCTTGACCTTCGGTTTCCGACTGAATGCTTACCTGGGCCTCCTCATTCAATACTTAGTACTTCTGAGAGCTGTAGAACAAGTGTGCCTATGTCTCTGCGTAGATCTATTGTATCGATATGTAGTTTTCCTTACTTACAACTAACTGGGCGGAGGTGGGTCTCATTGACACAGTGCCGGGCGCATGAACCACTCGACGCTGTCCATTGGTTCGCAATCCCGCAGGGTCGAACACCCCCCAGGCCAACCAAGCCTTCTACCCTCCGAGGGTAAATTGGTACCAGATTCGTCTGGGAGGATAAAACACTGACTTGTACATCGGCTGGCCCCCGCAAGTCATTGTATAGGCCACATCGCATTCAATAAGCCACTACGATTCTGAATGGAAGTAGAATGCCGTGCCGCATCCCACAAAGCGATCAACGCCAGCAAGACTTTATTTTCTATCACTTAATTTAACTAAAACTGGCCGGTCTCGTGTTGGCAACGCACTTCCCAAGCATATACCGAGTAGAATGATGTCGTGTGAAACTGAATTTCGTTGTAGTGCTCGTCTAATCTCTGAAGGATTCCCACCACGCTTAATCGAAAACCCTGAATCAAGACGAAGGCTTGTGGAAGCGGATTGCGAATTCAAACTCGAAACATGTTCTGACCGTTAAGGACGAACTACCTCAGAATTGAACGTTGCGATACATTTTGGCACATAGCCTAAGCTTTTTAGCAAAAAAGACTGAGACTTCATGCGAGGGCGCGCGCATTCGGAGAAACCTAGTAGTAACGGTCCAAAGGGAGAAAAAGTAGCAAAAATGAGTACAGCAGACTTTTGGAGGAAGCATATATCGCAGCACAGGGAACGTCAAAGCAGTCCGTAGCATCACAGCGAATGATTACTCAAGAAGCGAATTCATTTCGAATAGATATCGGAGCAATCATCTATCCGCGATCTACTCACGCCAGACCATCTTGCAGGGCCTAACTTCTCCATCGCAGTAGGAGCCAACACGGACCTCACTGACCAAACATTCATCAGTGGAGCGTAATCACATTTGAGAAGAACACGGATACAACAGCATAACAGGATTTATGCCCTTTATCTACAACATTATGAATCCACTGAAAATCTGAGCAAGCTATATCCTAGCGGTCATCGCCTCCACACAACATTCTTCTATTCCTTGCGGGTAGCCTGTTCGATGTCCCTGAAAAAAAACACGCTTGATGAATTCCGCTTTCAAATCATTTCAATTTTCCAAACTCTCAGTCCTAAATGAGACTCAAAAACTCACTATGAACATTTTCAGAAGTTTCACACTCACAAAATTTACCCCTCCTTTCCCTCATACTCTCTCAAAACACAAGCGCTATTGCAATTGTGGCGTGCGCCGTCGGCCAAGTCTGAACGCTGACATGCTTCCCCGAGATATGATGAGTCTGCGGAGGGTCGAAGCGGGTTGGAAAATTGGTTCATTTGCGATTTTTGTCAGACTCACGTTATCGCGGATTCCACGGTCTTAATACGCTATTTTTTTTGTTAGCTAAATAATGGAACTTGAGTTTGCTAATGGATCGATGCATAGATTATCAACTTCGATCACCATTGTTCTGCTTTTCGGATACTTCCAGCGCTCCTTTATCGGCCATCTTGCGAGGCAATGCCAGCAATGCATCAAAAGAAGCTTAGTATGCGCCACGATAAGTTATATTTTCTTCTTTCTGCTTTACATCGCATATTTTATACTTGTTTTTTCTGCCAAATTTGCACGTTGCCGCTGTTGGTAGAGGCGCTTGCGAGCTCGGAGTTGATTAATCTTGAAAAGTATGGCAACGTATAGCTTCGGCTCAGCAAAGGATGACGGCCGATAATTACTCAACCTTTTGGACGGCGACTACCGAATATAACCACCGCAAGTTGGTACAGGTTGCTCATGCCTTCGATCCCTGTCGGGCGGCTCGGAGGATCCCTCAGGGTTGCAGCCAAGTGACGGTCACGAGTAGCGAATGTGTCGGCGGCGCGGGGAGGCAAGCTACCGCGTCACTACACTCACTCCCTCGCCGCGCCCTACACGCGCCCCATTAAGCCGCCCTGGCTCTGCTCATTGACAGCTTGGCGTTTAAAAGAAACAAAAATTAATCCGAAACAACACAAAAAGCAAGACAATAACTAGAGTTTATCAAGTTAAGAAAAAAAAGTAAACTACACTTTCGAAAAGGAAATAGAACGATTTTTGAAAAAAAATCGGCTTTCGTATGGGGCCGACAAAATCAGCTGATGGCGGCCGCGACAGCTGTACAAAGGCCAGAGAGCCAGAGCGCTATGCGGGCGTGTGTCAGAGGCTTATAAATGGAGAGGACACGGGATTAGTTTGCCCGCCGGCGCGCCGACAGTTTGCTACTTTCGTGACGCGGCCGCTGGGGGAATGTCAATCTTAGTTAGGGCTGAACTACATTTAGCACCTTCATTTAGCACCTCCATCTCGCTGTGGGGAGACGTGTGAGATCGCCTGTGGGATGACCTCACTTAATTGGCTGCACTGGCTGGTGACCTCTCATCATCATTTCCAGCTCATTCAATATAAAACGATGAATGGAATGTAAAATAAAAGAGTTTGGAGAATTAAAATTACACTCACAACTTCTGAAACACGAGCTCGAATGGGAAAGCCGGTCTTTAAGGTGTAAAGAAGTCAGATTCTACATACTACTGGATTACAGAAGTACTCCCGAACTCTGCTACAGGCAAATTAGTTTAGAGCGGATGACTATTTGCGCCATTATTAAGACACATTGGCCCTTTGTTTCTTTGCACCACACTAACTTTGAGTGTCATCGCAACTAAATTTAAGCAAAGGGCTGCATTAAACAGGAACTGTCGCGCGTGTATTGTTTTCTCAGCATGATTTCAGGTTACGGCGACTTTCTCTATACGGATTTTCTCGACCATAGCTTCCCAGGAGGTAGTCCGTCTATGTACAGCACTTATGTCAACACTCCCCAACCCCTTACCCCCCACACCAACGCTCCACAACTGCATGATTCGTCAATGTACATGGCCTCGCCGATCGACACCTCGTCTACACAAGGACTTCAACAGTCGTTCTACATACCTTCTTTTACAGACATTTACTACAGCGCAATGCAAGCGGTCACACCTTCACTATATACGTCTTCAGTTCTACCACAGATTCCTGCTGCGACGAGCTGCACCCACAGTGAGCACTTTCTGTTACGCCTTCCCTTCTTTGCAGGCACACACCACATCTGCGAGCCATTCCGATCCGGCAATGCCGGATTCGTTTCATTCAGGTACCTTAGATGTCACCGCATCTACTGCTGCCACACAGCACGTATATATGCTGATTTTTTCATAATTGTCAATGTAAAACTTGTGCAATGTTAATATAAGTAGTGAGTTAATAAATTGACGCTAATAAACTTTATCCAGTCTCTGGTTGTTCTTTGAGGTGAGCGTCATAACAAGGGATCACTCAATTATGCCAGGGCTCCCCATTGGCAAGGGAGGCTAGGTGCGAGATGTGCCAGCCTAATTACCGGCCTAACTAAAGTTACACACCCGGTTCGCGGGTCCTTCGACCGCCTTAATCAGGTCGAAGGATGGACAGCTGTAAATCTCTCTGCTGCAACCTAAGTGTAACTTGTCGTGTTCTCACAATTTTGGTTTATAGGGAAAATTTTTTATATCACAACGATTGGCTGAGTTGTGGGCAAAAGTCGTGCCCCAGGCGGAGTCGAACCCGCACCTCACGCTTTCCGGGCGAGTGCGCTATCCATTACGCCACCAGGGCCGCTTTTACCCTCTCAGCTTAACTGCTTATGCCGTAACCTTCCTACAGCAGTCACACGTTTAACTTGGTGAGCCGGTCAGCTGGATTACGACTTTTGCCCACAACTCAGCATTCTTGTGATAACATACGGACGCCGAACTGCAACGTTAAACAGCAGTTATCATAACAAAATAGTTGGAAAATTTCTTGTGAAGGTTCCTCATGAGTTGCACCAGCCTGACAAAACTCACTGAAAGGTCGTGACTGAGTTTTCTTTTCGCTGTACCCGCTAAAAGATCCTTTATCGAGACCTGGTGGTTGATGGCGAGTGTCTTGAAGTGTGCTTATGCTGGGCACACTTCCTCCAGGATCTCCAAGGGAGAAGTATATTGGCTCAGTTAAAAAGGTCTAGATGTGGCATGGATTTAAGACTTCACTGTGCTATCGGTAGGACTTCAAAGCGATGTCGATGGATACTGGCACCATTTTCTTTCTACTGCACGACAATGCGAAAACTGCAAATTCCGAAAAATGGCGTCCACTCAAAATGAGGTCCATCTATTTTTTTATCGTAGTTGCCGTAGTTCTATAAGAGCGGAAACAAGAAGCTGTGCAGAAAGGTGTACCCTAGTCCTAGTCATTTGAGGTGATTGCTCCGTAGATTGGAGGTGTCTCTTGGTAGAAGAAAATTTGGTTCGAAAATTTGGTTAAAGTGTCGAGGACGTTTCTGTCCCAACCAATACTACCTCGCAAGAATTTCTGCCACTGCCCACGATTTTTACATGGCCAGAATTACTTTCAATGGCACGTGAGGCGTGTGGTGGGGTTAATTGTGCTAAAAGGGATGTGAAACAGCAAGACTAGCTGCCTCGTTTAGCCGTGCAGTGCAGCAATGACCAGCCGTAGCAGTCTCAAATTCATTGTCGGTTGGTTCATACTGATTGTGAGCTCTATTTGGCTCAATCATTTACATGCAGCTGAGAACTTGTTCATTGCTGAATGGTGAACATCACGAATCTTTATACAGGGAGGGCCTATAAAAAAGACACTTTTCTCTCCTGACTTTCGAGGAGCTGTAAGTTACACTTTATTGTGATCTGATCGGGCTTTTGTTTACTACAGCATACATCAGAAGCATATTAAAATACTATCACGATGACGCTGCCGACAAGCTTCTGAGCACCTCATCGAGAATCCTGCTTAGCGCAACCATGGTTCGGTGCCTGAGTTCAGCGAGATGGTTGATTTCTCCGCCACTGTGACCACCCTGTTGAACTCCGCCCGAACCAGGTAATTGATGGGGTTTAAGCCAGTGACCCGCTTTGATATTCCATCTTCTCAGGAACTCAACGCCCTTCCATTCCAAGTAGGCGAGAGTTTTTCCAACGCCCTTCATTTCATGTGGTGTCACCCAATGCTGTAGCAGTACAAAGTTTCCAAGAAGGTACGGGCGACGAGGAGGATATTCTTCACGAGTTGCTCAATGTAACCGCCAGCGCTCACCTTCAGTCCGGGGTCCACGAAGAAAATATTGGTCTTTCCATTCCAGGTACGTCCGGTCCATACCATCACCTGCGCGCTTGGTGAATGGGTGAAGATGATGTCCTAGACCGTAGCGACGTTGACGGAGCTGCTCGATGGAGGTCTTCCAGATCGAGAGTACTGGTCTCCAGGTAGCTATCCATGGGTGACTCCATACTAGAAGTTTCGCAGCTGTTTGGAGGTGACATGAATTCCAAAGGTCTTTCTCCAGTCAGGCTGCGACTGGAGATGACTTCATATTTTGGTGTACATGAAGGTGATGGGCGAGAGCCAGCTCCTGCTTATCGAGGAACATCTTGGGTATCTTCCGCCCTGGTACTCGTATCCACGTCCTCTGTCTGGGCTGCGAAAATTTTGCTGATATGTAACTCGGTCGAAGTGTCTTTTTTTATTGCCCCTGTATAATGTTAGAACCTGTTTCCACGTTTTAGTTAGTTTTTAGTGCTTGGGATTGCTTCCTGCAACTTTGTGACAATGAATGCCGTTTTTTTCAGCTCAGAATGAGAACGCTAAAAAAAGGGTTGTACCTCAGAGGAAAGCCACTTCAAACGTACCATCGCATCGAGTTGTCTCATCCATGCTTCCCATTCCAGCTCGCCCACTCCCCACTTCTTATCGATAGCGCCTTCTTTCAGATTCACGCCACCACCTAAAGCATCCTTAGTTTCGGTTTGTACAGAAAATAATTGTAGGAATTGTTGAGTAGTGCGAAACCTCCGCTACTAGCAGTCGCTTTTGCTTTCCTAGCGGCCTCATCTGAAGGCATAATTATCTGCTCAATGAGGGACGGACCACTCACGTGAACCTGAAATGTGAACCCCCTTTGAAGAGAATAGCCCTCAAGCACTTTTATGACCATACCTGAGTTTCGCAGGCGAGAATCAAGTGATAAGCAAAATGGAACGCCTCTTCGATGGTCCGTCCACCGGCGACAAACCCATGATTTCGTAGGATCATGACATTATGTGAGCCCATGTCTCTCACCAGTGACTCGCGTTCTTCTAGGTCGGTTAGGATGCCCTGATTTTTTCCAGGATAAGAAAATTTAGTTCTGAAAGGCACATACACTCGAAATCCCTGATATGTGGTAGGCGTGGCTGCGTGCTTCAACTAAACGTGGCGGTGGCTGTAATCTTGGAGATATTTTCATTTTGACACTTTTGTGGTGGTGTCTCTGTCCAACACTGAACAAGATGACAGTTGTCTCAAACTGAAATATCCCACGAGTAACCCATTCTATGCCATGTTCAAATGCCACGCCTACTCCATCTTAGGGATAAGAGTGTGATGTCAATCGAAGTGGGTTTACCTGATAGTCGTGGTAGGCAACCTCACCAACGATCATTGCTTCCTGACATAGTGGCAATAAGCCGCATTTCATGACTGAAACGGCCACCACTGATGGTAGGTGTAGGTGAATAACACACTGTAAGTCTTCACGGCCCGCATGGATCGCAGAGTGCAGGGTGAAGCCGGCCTGACAATAAAACCCAGTGGAAACCAGTTTGTAAAAATTCAACTGAAAACTGTTTTTCGTTTATTTAGTTGGGACGAGTAGTGTTCAGTTACGACAGAACAATTAGAATTCATAGGAATGCTAAGCGATGTGCAAGAGTTGACCCAAGGAGGGACCAAAACCCGCGCCTCGCACTCATAGAGCAAGTGCGCAATCCCTTACTCCACCCAGGTCCTCTCTTGAGCTCTCGCACTTTTTGGAGCCTTCTCCCAAACATGTAGAGTCTTTAAGGTCGCGGCTCATCACCATAATCGGCTGACCAGAAGGTAAGGGTCCTCTCTGGTGGTGGTAACGATTAGCACCCTTGCCCAGTGAACGCGAAGCGCGGATCCGAACCCGCACTCAGCCCAGTTTTTCCCATATTAGTTTTTTTGCCCCACACTGTTTCTCCCTGAGGCGGAGGTGGTGTAGTGACAAGTGGCGCGCTTACCACTCGCGCGGTCCTGGGTTCGAATCCCGGGTCGACTCCCGCCCAGGCCAACCAAGCCTTCTACCCCGAGGCGGATACCCGTATGGTGTACCCATACAGTACTTCTGTAACCCTCGCTTGTAGTGCACAAACGTTTGATGGCAATTGCTTCGAAAAGGAATCATTCACCAGAAGGGCAGCAACCGCCATGTTCAAATGAAGTATACAGCTGCACCCTCCTCAGCCCCGGGATCTGGAGTGTGGAGGCCATTCGCTCACCCCAAATCTTTTCCATTTCAGACTGGGCACACTTCAGACATAAA